CCATTCTGTATCCTTCTTAAGGACATTCGACAATGGCCGTGCCATTTCCGCACGATTTGTGCTATGCTTGTACAAGTAGTTGGCGAGGCCAAGCCACTTGCGCAAGTTCTTTTGGTTCTTTGGGATCGGCCCGTTCACAATGGTCTTAACCTTAGCGGGATCCGCTCGAACGCCACGCTTCCCAATGAAGCACCCTAAAAGAGTATTTCTTTCGCGCCGACGATGCACTTATCGGCATTAGCATACAGCTCATTCGTGCGCATGCACACTAGCACCGCTCTCACATGAACAATGTGGTTTTTCTCATCTGTGTTTCCGTGCACAGTGGACGAAAGTGTCGTCGAAGTATGTCTGTGCATACGTCAGGTAGGGCCTGAACAATTGCGTCACAAGACAATCTAGTGTTGCTGGTGCATTAAACAGCCCTTGGGAGTATCACCAGCCACTGCCATGTGGCAGGGATTCAAGTGGCCGATATTCAATTAAATCTCCAACTGCAAAATCCGCAAATAAGGAAATAAAACAAAAAAAGAATATAAATCCGTACAAAGCAGTAGTATAATAAACATTTTTCGCAAAAAGTGCTGTTGAGTGGCCCTGTTTTGGACAACTCGTTAGCAGCAATTGCAATTTGTGCATCACCTTCGCGAGCCCGAACCTATAGATAGTTGAATGCATCACGAGCAGATTCGCGCATCGGAAATGCGTAACATTGAGGATCATTCGCCTTTGAAAAGAGTGGCGGAGCTCATAAGTTGTCACAATGAAAGCGACTTCACATGCCGACCCAGAGCGGACTTCAATAAGCTTAAAAAAAAGACGACAAAGTGGAAATAGTGCAATTTTAGATTGTCGTCTGCTACTATTGACTCGGAAATGACTCAATCATGCGCACGTCATCACGTCGTGGATAGATCGACCAAGGTGCTTTTCGGTTTTTCGTGAATGCGTACAGCAGTGGTTAACGCACTGTTAAAGGCACCGCTCCCACTGATTCTCGATGAGCTTATGAAATTACTTATATCTTGTCAGAAGATGAGAACGCATTTTGAATGAGTTTTGTTCCTCTTGATCACCTCATTATTGCTATCAAAGTTATGGGTCTCCGGTTGTCACCACGATCGCCCTAATTGTTCAAGGCTGCGTATATTGGCAAATTTCGTGCCAACGAAGACTTTGTGTCGATAAATTCGTGGTCACGTACACACGGCACCGCGTTGAATCGTTTGTTTTGTCCAAGTCAGCAGTGCGAAATGTTGAAGTGATGTTGGCTAATGCATTTTGCTCTCGCCTCGGTCGATTGAATCATCGGGTGAACTAGCAAACAAACTTAACTTACATGATCAGGAGATCAAAAGTCCTTTTCGGTTTTGCGCTTATGACGCGGAGGTTGTCGTCGACTAATTTTTCGGAAACCTAGCCAAAAGACGCACTGATTGTCACTCGTGTTATGATATCTTTCTCACGACCATCACTTCATGCAAAGTGTGTGCTAAGAGCTGTGGGTGGCGGGTGACAAAAGGTGGCTCGCTTCGAGGCACAATGAGTCGCGTTCGTGCGAAAAAAAGTTAATCGCGATTGCGTTTGTGCAGCAATAGGGGCTTCTCTTACCTTGTACGTTTGACGACCAAAAAAATATTAATAGTCCAATTTAATGCTGGCTTTCGACAAGAGCATCGAAATGGTTATACCTGACACTTTTGCAAAGCAGCAGATGCGCCTATCACGAATCGTACAACAAACAGTATCGCTCCGAAACGACAGGCAAGTTTGTATAACGTGCTTTGTTGAAAACAAACACCATACACAGTAAGCTAAAAATATTTTTTTTACCGGCAGTCATTTAAATCGGGATCAGTTTTCGAAGCTGGCAACTGCCTGTTCATCGTCGAAGACTACTAGCGCATCTTTGTCTAGTGCCTTTAATTCACATTCCAGAACCATCTTACTGGTAATTTGGAACTTAGACACAAATTGCACACCACAATTTCCAAAGTAATGATTGCAGATTCTGACGAGTTCGTCATTACACTGTCAAAGAGACAGCGTTAAAATAGAAAGCGACCCTGCACTTGTCAGTTAAAGCCAGACGTTTGAAGATGCGGATGTGGAGTTGTCTCGAAAAAATATGGAAAGGCATCCAAGTGGGTCGTCAAGGCTCTTATTCAGTCGAACGTCTTGAAAGCTTTAATGCGTACTGCCAGGTTACTTCTCGCACTCGTGTAATTCTCCTGTGCTTGCTCACTCCGGTACCTACTCTAGCTGTAGCGATCCTGTTGGAATGCCTACCGCTTCGACACCCTTCTGAAGGATGGAAAGCCAATTGGATGTTCTGGGTTCGTATGACAATAGCATTGTTTATAATGTCTTCAGCAAGTAATTTAAGTTTCGCAACATTTATTCCGGATCTAGAGATGTCGCATGTCAAGAACTTCACCATTGCTTTTTTGCTAACAGTCATGACCGTGACTACCATGATATTACTCTCTATCAAAATCGGATTCCCTCTTCCATTTACTGAACAAATTGGAAACGTGGTGACTGCAGTCTACATTCCGGTGCTTTTTGTCCTTGTGTTGGGCAAAGCACCATTCGCGAATAATTCCAATTGTCGGCCATACTTTGTGCGATTCCGACGATGCCAGCACGCGTATATGGCTCTCGCTATCATATACCCTTACTACAAAGCGCTTTACGATTTGATACCTTTACAGTATCGTAAATTTACAATACTCATGCTGCCGATATGGAAGTTTGGGGCTAAATATGTCGTGATAGGTGCCACACGTGAATTAGAGGATTTCATGCCGCAACTTTTAAGTTTTACTGTGGATTTGTATAGTTCGCTTTTAATGTCTGTTTGCATGTCAAGCGCTGGATCTTTATTTCTGTCTTCATTATTTATTGTTGTCGATGTGGGACAAACAATACTAAAATTTCACGAATTACGAGCCAATGCATTTGTCGTAGTGCAGTTACTAAACCAACAACGTTTGTCTCAAGGCTTTTTGCAGTCCGAATCATCGACTGAATCGCTGGAATTACTTGCAATGATTCTTGTGGTGACGCGAGATCCCTGCGCTAGTAATATAGTTTCAATGCGTGGTGTGCGATTGCATGCATGTCTTCCCCATCCGCTTCCAGAAGAACGACTCAAGCAACTACAAATTCTCGAGGCATCAGGGTTATATTGTAAGAATGACACAAACAACCCGCGATCGGCTCGCCAATGTAATTTCATCTCTCGTTGTTATAATCGCACTTTGGTCCAGCCGATCGAACCAAATCTCGTGAATATTTCAACGAGACAGTCTACACAAACAGTTGCTTATCATTCTGAAGTCTCTGATGTGAAAGCAAAGAATGGCAAACGATCAAAAGAGCTTGTTTTGGAAGGACTCCAATTGTTGTTCCATTGTGAATATTTGGCACTAGTGGAATACATTGAATGCATTGTTCCTACCGTATATGTCACGTATATGTCAATACTCGAGATGCTTCCAAATATCGTTTATTATCCTGGTGGTGCTGGTAAATGGGGCGTTTTTGCTATACTGAACATTGTGCTGTTTGCTATGTTCGAAATTGGGTCTTTCTTGTTTTTAAATCACTTTATACAGCGCAAATTTAAGGTATCTCCTATGTATCAGGTCGCATTCGTATTTGAAACGCAGATGTATCAGGTCCAATCAATGTTATATATATCGCTGGTTCTCTTACTATCGTACGAGCTTGCTCATCAGGGTATGTCACTTACCTTTTTACATTTGCATGGGCGGGGTTTAACATAATTGCTGCAAATTTCATTTAGGTGTTGACTTCACTTTTCAATTTAATTGGATCCGATAACAAGAAATTTGAAGCTCAAGGCAATACCTTGTACAAAAAGTTATAAAACGCGGATCATAGGTCGGAAAGCTTATAGTCATGTGTAAAACGTAGCTGCATAGTGGCACGATACTACCACTATGATCTATGACACACACCAACTATTTGACGAGTTAGCGACTTCAAACTGAAACAGTTTCTAGGAAATGCTCTCAAACTATTGCAGATTGAGGCATCACACTTCCGATCCGCATTTACTTTTCTCGATCATCGCAAGAAGACTAATCATTACTATTGTACCTTACTCATGAAAGTGTAAGTAAGGTATTAGCAATCACAGTCGTACTTTTGTCAATAAGTGAGTTTGTACACGTACAGAATATCTGATCAAACTTCAAGAAGATGGTGCTAGCTACACGTCAAGTCATAAAGACACGCTCTATTATGAAAAGTGGTGAAATATATATTTCCATCTCTCAAAACATAGCTAACTAAGAGTATTGTTAATGGGCTCTCCTGGTAAGTGCGTTAGAACCCAACATAGTCTCGTTTTATTAGCGCGGACAAATTGAGTCCAAGGTTTCTATGTGAAAGTGAACAACAATTCTGTTGCATCTGAAAGCATTTTATGAGCGAGTAGTAACCTTGACGAGGTTAAAACATGCGATATGCAATACGTACCTGTCAAAGTGTATGTCTTCTGCTGATCTCAACGAAATCAAATACAAGAAGGGCGATGGGCTAGACTTGGTAACCACTTAGCCGGAAGTGCTCGCCAGCTATAAGAGTAACCTGGTGCGGCACGCCCCGACCGGCGCTGATCGTAAAACAGATGAAGCTCATCGTGAGGCCGCTGATCTTGAGCATTCATGCCTTTGTGCGCAGGGACGAACAGATCTCTGCTTCCAAGCAATCTACGTTGACATTACCATGAATTGATTGTACTCTAAACGAAGCACTGCTTGCGGTCTCCAAGCCAGGAGGCCAGGCACTAACCCGCAGTTCCTCTGTGAAAGAATGGTTGTCGACATGGAATCTTGCGGCATATGTTGTGTGTGTTTGCACCGCCCAACCAGGATTATATGGCCAATTCAATCTTCACGTCCAGCATTCAGGGGATAGTAATACCATTGAGCGCTGACTAAAGATTATAATATTTTATCACTACAGTGCGACAGACCCTCGCGGAGGCAGTGATAGCTAACATCTTGATGAAGGATGTAACGAGGTTACACGTAACCTGGTAATACGGGTATGTGTCACACGAGATGGGCATGGTGTGACTGAACCCAAACAAGAACACGGTATGTGGCTGGGGAGCCAGTAGTTATGCATGTATTTAGATTTTACTATATATATTAAGGAACATCTATACATTTTAAAATTAGGCGGCTTTGCCGCAGATAATACAAATAAATACAGTTTACATTTTAAACAGAAGAGTTTGTTAGCCCTAAGTTAAGTTTCAAACTACTCTTGGAGGTAGCGGATTGCGATCCGCTACACTCGTACTGGTTCTTGTGAAGAACGTAAGGTCTGTGACCTGAATTACGCTTCCTCTAAGCGCAAACCTTTGGCAGCCCCGCTGCACAGGATGCCTGCCTGTGCGACTCTTATTTTTTTGAAGGAAGTGATGGTGTCGCATTGATATGAAATATCGTGAATGCCGTACTCTACCAATATGCTATCGATTGCGAGGAGCAAAAGCGGTAATAAGAGTGGGAACTCTTGATTGGGTTAGATTTAATGAAATCTCAGCCGTATTTAGCAGATTCACGGTTTAAAGTGCACCAAACCTCTATACCTTGCGGGCTTACTTCGCTCTCGACTTGGAGATACGAACGGCTTTGCTTCCGGGCAAGATTATCCAATGGACCGTCGAGGTATAATGTTGAAAGGGCAGGGTGGGATACTAGGATAAGATCCTCCTCCTGGGTTACTTTATTAAGTGCGGGTTCATCCAGCAAAAATATGGGTTTTGCAAATTGGTCAATGCCTTGTCTTCAAATAACGTGAGAAGGTTGCTGGCACAAATTCAGTGCAAACAATGCTGATCTGGCGTGGTCCCTTACCAATATTCGGTAAATGGAGCCGAGGCGCAGCAAAATATCAGTCATTGTGGCTATTAAAATTGCGTCACGCTTGTCCCGATCGAAACTATTCTAAAAATATGTCGTCTTTCCATGTCATCTGTTACGCATCAGTCTTGGGAAAGGGCGCGCTTTACTTAAAAAAGAATCCAGCTGATATTTATGTTTGGTTGCGTTTGAGTTTTTTGAAATAGCAGAGAAAGACAAATCCGTTCTTGACAATAAATATTTTGTAATGAAGTAAGCTTCCGTTTAGTTCAAGTTTCAACTGCTTGGCTCTAAGCCGTTTGTGATCGACTTAGCTCGTGCGTCGTTGTCCACTCCAACGTCGAATACGTCTCTCATAGAAAGTGGCGAGTTGATTATCCTTCTTTGGCGAGTACGCCTTTGCGCTAAAGTATAAGTCGAGTCGTATCACTGCGGTTGCCGATGCGCTATCGCGTCGCTTCAGCTATAAAATTCGGCATGTCACAATGGTGACATCGCCAATGATCAGGAGTCCGCCTGTCGATCAGGAGATATGTATAGCGAACGAGCATGACGCACCTATGTTGCGCTACTCAAAGCTTCAGAGAAGATGCTTCGGAGCTCAGATTTTGCTTCATCAAAGCACGCGGCGGTATTCCAGCATTTCTTTGTCTATAAATTAGGGTTTGCTGTATTTACGCTAGCAGAAGTCTGGTCACTCCAATTACAATAAGTTAATCTTCCGCCATAAAGATATGAGGCTTCAATCGCTACGTACATTGGAAGATCACAAGATAATTTTGATGCAGAAGTACGGTTCCATCGGTACAGGCGTGAAAATTTCTTAGTGATCTCACGGGTTGCCTCTTATTTCCGGGACCTAACCCGTCAGTACTTAACATCAGTGTGTTTCCAATATACAACACTACAATCGTATGTAATACGTAGTGTGAGAATAACAACCAACCTGCCCCGTGGAGCTTTTTTACTAAGCGTTATCCCATCAACACTAGTGCTATTCGGTACTAGCTGACATTTTATGTGCTGGTAGATCATAATACGGTTGTTACCCCGTTTTAGGGTGTGTGTCACAATTTTCCCACTTGAAGCCATCTCGCAAAACTGAATGTTTAACCAGCACCCAATGCGCGTAGCCTTTCTGTACTTGCACTGGAGGTACCTGCTCCTCAAAAGCATCACTCGCATCGAGAATGGTCTGCTAACTACGCTATCTAAGCTCGGCGGGTCTCTGAGAATAGCGTTGACCTGGTGGTCGTTGACATTAAAGCCCCTTTTTGATAAAAAAAATCTACTATGATAATCGCCATAGTTCTCCACAAATTACGATCCAATAACTTGTTCTCACTGAGAAATATATGGTACAGCCGTTTTTTAAAAAAGACGTTAGTGTTATACCTTGCCTCACCTCTCCTCAGAGCAAATTATGCAATCCTGGCACATTTTCTCAGGCTAAAAGTATGATGATACCTGTATTGTGTGATTAACGACGACGTTCAGCACATGACGAATTCAATTGACCTGGTACAGCGGGTCATTTCTCCCTTCTGTAAGCAAAAGATCATTAAATACTTTTGCAGACAGCTACCTCTTAGGGTCAGCTCATCAAGACTCTCACTACGACGAACAAAGCTCCTACAGGACTATGTATGCGATACTTATTAAAACAAAGTAAAATTAAAGTTTGAAGTCATTCAGTAACTTCGTTTTGGCACATCTCGTCACTACTCTTAGAAGTAAAGCCTGCTCTTGAAGCAACAGCGGTCAAATAAATCCTCCAGACGAAGCAACAGCGTATTGCGCTACCCTATCCAAGGCGAGGTTGGCGTGCAAAGTCAGACATTTACATCCGGCATCTATTAGAAAAAAGATTTCGACTTGGAATAGAACTGAAGCGACACATATCGCATTTGGCAATCTCACCGGATCTGGCGTACTGTCTGCGTCAAATATTATCCTCGCGTCAAGCAAAGCGAGATATAGTAATTCAGGTCGGCAAATTGCAAACTATCATTGCTGTGAAGACGGAGATTCTCTTTCGGAGGCAGTAATTATCACCATCTTCATGCAGTGCCTCCTATTACGTGCGGCTCGCGCCGATATTTCCGTGTCTACCCTGCCCCTGCTTGGGATAAGGTAGTAGCTGCAATAAACGCAGAGTACAGCTTCCAGATTACGAAGGCCAAATGGATACAAGAAGTGAAATGATTGTGACCGCCAGGGCGATGGTCGCCACGTATGCTGAAGGGAAAAGAGAGGTCGCTTCCCTTCCAAGAAGCTCCGCGGTATTCGTAGATGTTTTGCCGTTGTAGTTTCAACTAATGTAGCTCTGTCTCTGCAATTAACTCTCACCTGAGCGGTTGAAACACTTCGTTTGATCATTTGATGCGCTTGTGGGCTCATGTCCATCAGCTTGATCCATCGAATAAAAGCTATGTTACACCCCATTCTCTCGAGCAGCCGGATTATTCAGTATCAGTTAATCCGATCGAGCGCCTTCTGATAGTCCAAGAACATCGTGTACGCCTCTACGTCATGAGCTATCACGAGGTCTTGCAAATCAGCGAGGAACCCCAAGTGGTAGTGGATCGACCGTCCTTCAACGAATTCTTTCTGATCTGCGTGGATGAAGTCTCTATGACTTGCTACAGACGATTCGTCAGTGCCTTCGAAAAAACTATTCATCGACCTACATGAGTGCGATTGGTCGATCGTTGCCTGGTTCAGCCTTCGATCTCTCTCCGTGAAGCACCACGCCAGACTTGTGCAGAGATTGAGGCAGAACGCCACAGCGAAGGGTGGTTAAACATGATACTTAATTACTCACCGAACACATTTAAAAAAACTGGTATAAACCAGCCGTCAATCTGTCCATGCCAGGCGAAATGTCGCTTGCATGTTCCGAATCGCGTTTGCAAGGTCAGCAGCTGTCATTTATTCGTCAGGCACCGCACTATCGACTTCCGAGACAAAGCGGGTGATTGAGTTAAGAAGCTTGCGCTGCAAGGCTTCGTCGGGAGGTGGCGCTCTTACTGCTGAACTGATAGGATCTCCCATCTCGCATTCCCAGTCATCCATGAAGCGCAGCGAGATCACTCGATGATTCGTCGTTACACTTCCATTCGGTGTCACGACTTCCTCGATCAAGACTAGTCTCCGAATGTGTCCAGCGGATGGGAAAAGCACTTGGTGAACTTACAAAGTTGGCTTCTTAAAAGTTCAACGCATTGTCTTTGATGTGCTGACTCGCCCGCGTGACCACTTTCTTATATATTCTCGTAGGTTCATCCAAGAGCTCGCGGTTTTAGTCGCTACCTGCTGGACGATATTGATCGGCAGCTTGGTCGGGAGCGATGCAGGCCTCCTCAACACCTTGCTTTATTTGCATCCGAAGCTACATACTGCTGCTGTGTCTTGATGCTCATCTTCCGCGTCTCACCCTTGCCGGGGTTCTTAGCGGCGCACAATTGGTTGCGGACCGGCTTGGTTTTTCTCGATCGCAGCCACAACTAAATGAACACCTCAGTTGGTGATAGCATTGGACTTTCAAAACCGATAGTCTCGGCTTTGAATCTCAATACTTTTAGTTTAGGGATATACTCAATTGACTCAAATTTACTTTTAAAATATGTGGTTATCCGTTGGAGGTGAATCACCGCGATTTGGACTAGATCCGAGACGAAAGTATTGGTACCACAGAAACGAGATCACGTGTGCCTGCTACTGATAGCTTCAAGCAAAGCGTTCACTATTGTTAAAATTACAAAGTATAAATGAAGTATCATTTTTTTGCTTACTCGGGTTTTAATAAATCACACGTATATATAGCGGAAACTATCTGGGATCTTGCTGAAGACAGCTTCTTTAAACATTCTGCAACGAATTTGCAGCTCACATCGAACAGACGAAGTGTTGGCCCATTGATTCGCGTGATGTAACGCACGGACTCGCGCTCACCACTCACCTGTATTTTGCCAAAAAACTCAAAATTTTACGGAATGTATACTCTACGTGAGCAGTATACTGTTGCTCCTCAGTCTTGGCTCAGAAATTGAATAGTGCTGGTACAGAGAATTTGCTGGACTAACTGTCAATTTATTATTGAGAAAGGTAAAACAGATTCGTCAGCGTTTTATGAAATATTGCCTAATCTCAAATTCATTTCACTTTTGAGAAAGTGCGAAGTAGCTACCTAGTTGTTAGAGAGGGTCACAGATTTGATTTTAAAAATAGCGTACAAACTTAACTTCTGTGCGTATATTGACGCAGATGTATTGGATAAGAGTTCATTTATGCAAGTCCCGTTGCACTCATTGGCATTTGTTGTCAAACACGGCAGCTCTGCGAGAATGGAACAGCAGTTGTTTACGAGGAAAATAAGATGCGCTTTATAATGGGGTTTTACGTACCCTTGTAAGAAAGGGGGTCGCACAAGATTGTGTGACCGTACATAGGTGTGTATTACATAGCTAGTGTAATAACAAATGCACCGTAACAGGTAGTCACAATGTGGCAGGATTGCCAGTAGTAATGCATTCTACTATATTAATTAGATTTTGCAATGTTAATAAGGTATTACTATATTAATTAGGAGAACCTTAGATTAAATATTTTGGCGGCTCTACCGCAACTAGAACAATTAAACACAGGTTCAATTCTAATCAAGAGTTTCTTTTGCCTTGGTTAAGGCTTTAGTACCTGATGGTAGAGGATTGCGGTTCGCTACACTCGTACTGGTTCTGGAAAGAACGTAAGGTCGGTGTTCTCAGCTTAGCTTCCTATAATCAAAGAGCTACGGTAGCCCCACTGCACGCTTGGTCAGATCATATCAATTGTTGGTCTTGTATGGATAAATAAATTGGGTCGAGGGTCGGCAGCGCTGTCTGTAAGTGTTCAGCAGCAATCACGCACGTACAGCGGACGCGCTTTATATGCTAAGAGTTAGAATGATACATCAAAGAGCGCTCAATCCATAGGTTGGTGTAAGCGTTAAATAATTTGAGAGTAAAGTCGAAAAGAAAACACTCTTTGGTGAAATAAGTTGGGACGATCATGAATTCGGCCATGGTCTAAACGATGCGGTAGGGTATCCCATTATCGAAACTAGAAGGCTGCAAGCAAGAATATAAACTTGCGCGTAGTATCTCGACAGAAGTGGTATTTTTGATACACATCGTGTGTACGCGACAGATATCGCGGATATTTGCACTGCCTAATTACTTGTACTTTTTAGCACTTGAAAATGTTTTCTACTTGTCAGCATAGGCGAGAATATGTGGCAATATCTAAAAGTTGGATCCTCTCGTCACCGCGATGGTGGTAGATCCTCTTCTTCGAATTGCAGGAGAAAACATCTTCATAATGGGTCTCGAATACGTGCCGTTTGCTCGAATATATTCCGCATCCATCTCACATAAATTTAGGATGCAGTGGGTATTGCACTAATACGGAGCTAAACCTTCGAGTTGCAATGGCCGAATGGAGTACTTGGAAATATCTCGAGCGCGCCAAGGGCATTCAACTTATCCCTGTTGTCCAGAGAGAAAGCGATCTTCTTGCGTCTCAGCTGCATCGCGGAATCTGCAGAAGTTGCAAAGCTGGCCGTGTAAGAAATCTGCGCTCGACATGAACTGGTTTTGGCTCGAGCCTCCTGAGACCGTTAAGCAAACCTCGCAGGGAGACGTGGAGTTCTTGTAAGCCGCCTTGTACCTATTGTGAAGGAACGGTGATGTTGTAATTTTTGTAAATCGAGGTCAATGGGACCCAGTCGCAAAATAAATAAATCAATTTTATTTTCAAAGCGAGCTAGGAAGCACAGCTCATAATTGACAGCTTTCAAAATCATCTCCTGGACTCTGTAATGCCTTTGGTGCTCTGGTGTATTCTAGAGTGCCGAGCTCAAAAACAGAAGAAAAAGCATGCGGAGGCATTGTAGATGCCGAATACGGATACGATATTCGGGTTTCATCTGACAGCGGCACCAGTGAAAGTGTTAGAAATTTCATCCTGTCTGTGAAATCTGAGAGTGTTGACAGTGTGGATTGCTTTCTGATATTCGAGGTTCTATGATATCAAAAGTATGACGTGGCAAATGTAACATTAATCATGGATTGACCGGGACGGTTGAGGATATTGGTTTTTGTGTACTTCTTAACTGGTGGGGCTTCGGTGAGTCATTAACCCAACGCTACTGGGTTCTGGCGTGGGCATGAAGCTGCAATAGTTTTGATGTAGATCGTGCAATTATGGATGGACAACAATGTTGTTGAACGCCTAAAACAAAGCTTAGAAAGCACAAGCGGTGGTGAGCAGCGGTCAGGGAATGAACAGAAAGTAGCGATAGTTTGTAGCGGTCTTCAATGTGATTTTTAATTGCTTAAAAATGAGCGGCAGGATGTCAAGGTACCTCCGGTGAGACATTAAGTGACAGCTGTACGATTATTATTTCCGTGACATAGCCGGTGGAGTATAAAAACGGCTATTTGTCGCGGTCTACTGCGCCAGAGCTGGTTGAGACTAAGATGAATACTATCATAGTTGGTTGCAGGAGTATAATATCGCCTCAAAGTAGTGATCGTATGCTTTAGAATTGGCTGGTGATGCCACAGGGCGAATAGGTGGATGCGCAGTTGCTCCACTGAATAAATTTACAATTACTTAGACTTCAGGTTAGTTTTACCCAAACACACTTAATAGAATATTCGATCGGAAATTGGCTGAAGAAAACAATCCTGATTTTGACGTTCATAAAGCACCTCCGTCAAATGTTGAGTACCAAAATTCAGACACATTATTATTAAGTACATCGATAGCGCAAGGGGACTTTTGCAGTTCTCGATTGATGTGTGATCAACAAAGGATTCGTACAGACCTAGAATAGTGCCTAACCTATACCGCGGTTTCAACAAAGCTTTGGGATTTCAAAAAATGATATGCAAGTTAAACGAGTAATGGGTACGGCTTGGACAGCCCCTTGTGACCTGGTTAAAAAGAACGTGGAAAGCCATACGATTGTTTGTCTCGGATGTTCTGGATGGGACAGAACCGAATAGCATTGGGTGCAACATATCACAACATTTTATCGGCTGCGTATCGCTACCGGTATAAATTAGTGACCTCGTTCCTGTCGACACAATTAATGGCTGTACCAGATCACCGGCAAGAAGTGAAGGCAGTTCTTATTGACTTTGAGTGCATATTCTAAGCTTGACGCGTATTGTCGTCTTTACTCATTACGCGTTCTTGTTAACGGCCTTGCACACACTAAACTTGTTGAAAGGATAATAAGGTGGTTACCAAAACTTCACAAATAAGCTCTCGCGTTGAATGCAAGCAAGGCAAATTCCAACGCGTCAACAACTATATGATGGACATACAACAATCATGTCAGCTTCAAACTTTTCCATGACTTTCTCGAAGACGCTAAATTGAGCACATCAATAGAGAGCACAGCTTTGTAGGTATGATGGGGCCGACAGCCTGCAATACTTTATAGCAAGGCATAAAAATCTCTTGTTGTTGTAGATGTGAACTAATTCATGATGCACTTCAATAGGCGCATGGTGAGCCTTACAGTGATCATTTTGGCGGTCCCTTTGGCTCTCATGTTTATCCGCGTATGTTCCAAATGTATTAGTATTTGGTACATTGTATTAAACGCAATGTGACCCATTGTAAAAAAATACATCGCTTTTCGGTGTGATTGCGAATATTGATAAATATCGAAATATTATTTCTATGAAGAACCTGATATTTTGGATGTGGTACTATGACAGTTCAACTGTGAGAGATGGTCGAACGAGTATATTGTGCATCCGTATAATTAGCATTAAGTCTACATTTTTGAATTGCAGAGCCGACTAAACACCTAGTAACCGTTAATGCTCTCAGTTTTGCTCTCGTTAAAAGCAAAATCACGCAATCTCTGTGCGTTAAACCCTCGGAGTCAACTCATGGTCTCGAAGTTCAGACATGTGCTCATGAACGCACCGTCCGTTTTAAAATGGTACCATCATGAACCTAACAGTTCATTGTTGTTGTTAAATCTTATCAAGTCAACTAAAGGAAGTGGTAACTGTGGGATACGTACCCTATATGGAACTACATCGCTGTACCTCCAACAGCTTCAAAGTACCACGGTAAAGTACTATGATGGTGTATCATGGTAAGTATTCGGTATGTATAAGGGTGATGGAACCTCATAAAAACGAGATAGAGTTTTAGTATGACAGATAGTAACTATATGAAGCTAGTATCACTTTATGCTCTCAGCTCGGCTCTATGGTGAGAAGTTTGTATACTTCTAGGCAAGGTGCTTTGTCATGCGTGTGCCTCGTCTACCCTCTTTATCAGGCCCAGGGCAATTTTTTTAGTTGGCAAGTACTCCACGCCTGCAACAAGGATGCTGTGCAATTCGAAAATGAAAAAGCTTGGATTATATCTAATTGACGCACATAAGATGAGTTCGTAAACTTCTTCAACCGAGATCTTCCCGAGTTGGTATATTATAATAAAATCCAGCTTAACATCGTACAATAATTATCTGTATTACTATTTATGATAACAAACCCTATGTTATGCATAGACTGAGTCTCGTACATCGTCCCACGTGAATGAGATGGTTCTTAAAGACAAACGTTTGCACTACTTGAACAGCATCATTCGATTGAGAGAAAGGGTGAGAGACGCGGATACTTCTCGATTTATGCGTGTCATCCTTGACAAAGGGGCCATGCTAATCTTCTCTGTATCTTTCCACTTTTTACGGATGACCACCGAAGTGGTTTCTACAGATAGCTACTTCAATTTTGTATAAATGCTGTGTTTGGTCCTCCAATCTAGAACCGCTTTCATCATTTCACATTTAAAGATCTTCCATTACAAGTGCAAATTACTGAATGGGTTTGCGAACTATTGATCCTCTACGTCGATTGGCAACAAGCTACGATCCCTGCTGGAGAAATGAAAAGATATATCTGTCTGACTGACGCGAATAATAGCAATGCGACAGCTGTGAGATTCGAACTCACGCGGGTTGCCCCATTGACTGAGCAGGCTAATGCCTTAAACACTCGGCCAAGACTGAGATTGAGCCGGTCCAAGCGCTTACGTCGGTTGCTGCTCCCAGTATACGAAGATTTGCAGTTTCGACTCGCCGTTCGCCTGCTGCCAGTGCGCTCATGATTCTCGTTTTTGCGCATTGCACACCCAGACATCATCTACTGCGTTTGCTGCGGGTGCAATGCGGTAGAGACTGAGAGGCATATGATCTTTGAGTGCGTCTTAGCAGCAGGGCTATGCACTGTCCTGTTTTGTGACTGGTCTGCATTCTTCGTCACTAGCCCAAAGTGGCTCAATTTTACTCTTGATCGCCGACCATCCATTAAACACATTTGGTTGGATCATGCCGCCGTAGTGGAGGATCTATGGCAGATTACACGCTGCATTACGCTTCATCTCCTGTGGACAGTGCGCAATGATGGTCTGTTTCGTCAACGTACACCACTGCCGCTGTTGCCTGCGCTCCAGGTCGTGTTTACCGCGTTTAAAGGGAACAGACGTGCATGTATACGCAAGGTGTACGATAGAGCGCAGCAAACGTCTCTCTGGTTGTGCTGACTGAGCTTCGACGGTCACACTCGCTGAGCGCAATTATGCGGGAAGGCACAGCCCTTTTTGCTGTGCGCCAATTATCGTTATCTCAGTACTACGTTTCCCCAGCTTTCAGCTTGTTTTCACCCATTCTTGGGTTCATTTATCCTAAACAAACGATTGAATGTCCGAAATTTCAGGCTTTTTGACAGGCATATAATTTTTCATGGGTGGATACGCATGTCTATGTATCACGTTTGAAATTTTATTTAATCTTGCAGTGAGTCGACTTGGAAGGGTAATAGTTTGGAAGGTGATTTTGCGCCTCCACTCATTATTTCTCATTCTATAATTTGCCGCCACCCACCCAAGCCAAGAAAATCAAGCATAAATGGACAGCCAGGCCAACGGATCAGCAGCAGCAGCGGGGTTTCCCCCGGAGAACCCCCCAAACCAAGGCGACAAGCCGGAAATTTTTGACTAGACGCTTGTTGTCTGCGCCCGTAAGGGTGACGGGCGGCCTAAGCCCGATTTCCGATCTGGCTGTTGCGTTTGATGAACCCAGGGTTGAGGCCCAACATTGGGATAACGTGGCCAAGACG